AATCAGGTTATACGACACAGCCACAACCACCTACCGCCACAACAGCAGCAGAATGACCAACTAGATAGCGAGGCGTGCGCACCTCAATCCCCGATCGTCGCCAGTTGCACCTTCAAAGGAAACCCACCTCGCCATCAGTAAAGTGGCCTTCACCTAACCGTCTCGTTGGGTAAGCAGGATGCGGGCGGCGCAAAGCGCGCAAAAGTTCACCAATACAACTAAGAAACCTTCGGTCTGCGGACACAGCAGATTCGTATAGTTCGTTTCTCGTTGTTCAATAGAAGCTTCCACGTGATCTTTCAGATTGGCCTGGCAGCCCATTCGTTGTGAGAGGTTCAGATTATGTTGACGGACGTACATGAATCTTTGAATAAATTGTAGTACAAATAGCGTACAAAGGGATTGATACTATAGACCTCCAATTGTTGAGGCAAGACGACTAGTAGAAGGGGACGGCAGCGATAGGACGTGTGAATGGGTCTGGATTGGCTCCCCACAAGGACAGGCATATGGCTCGGGGATATTGAAATCATGATAGTATTTGCCATAATGACCATATCCAGTGCGTGTCTGCGTGATAAGGCCAAGTAGCTTGTGTTCTAGGATACAGAATGTGTGACTGCCTTTCATGGAGGGTGGAAGTGCGTCTGCTATGGCATTCCAAGTCCCTTGAGCCTCTTGCTGCTCCTTGTAGCCCCAAGACTCGGTCTTGGAGCACCACCGGGAGGCAATACCCGGGATTGAACTGGGTGGTCAAGCTTTCTCCCGAGCCGACATAGGCTGGGTAGGTCCGCTATTACCTTGGGTCGCAGAGAGGGCGTTTCATTCATCAACTGCCGAGAGAACAACCGCATCGTCTCCCGCATCTGGCCGGGCTTCATATTATCTGCGAAGTACTGGAGGACGCGGCCGCATGACCACCGGTCTGCTAAGAGAGGGTTGTACGGCCTCCCTCTCTTAACTTCGGGTGCATGCCATCCATCTGTGCCGTTCGATGCAGAGATTGTCGGGTTGGCGTCGGCAAAAACGGAAATGTTGAAATCAATGATGTTGAGGTTCACCTCCTTCGACTCATGATTCTGTTGGACCACAATATTGTCCGGTTTCAGGTCGAGGTGTGCGACAGAAGAGTCTTGCAGGTACACTACACCTTCCAAAAACTGTCGAGCAAGCACTTCAATATCGTCAGGTGACGCATAGAGACGCATAAAAAGCACTAAAGGTTTTCGTAAAGGAAGCACCATTAGCCTTCGGTCTATAACGTCCAAAAGTGGAATAATCCGAGTTTGCTTTGTGGGTCGATTGCGATGGAGATGCCGCAGGACTTCTATTTCGTGTTCGCTAGTGAGTTTGACGATGACTTCCTTGCCATCCGCCGATATAGCCTTGAGCATCTTTGCGTTCAGCTTAAGGGCAAGTTAACCATTGGCTTTGTCACTGAGAGAGGACACGTACCGGGATAAGTGACTCGAAGCCCTCGATTTCCTCTGGAATAGTGTATCCAGCACGATCCAGTGCCTCCAGGTTGGCTGCATCACAGACCACTTCACTGTCGGCAGGCTCGTCTAGCTTTCTTCGCTTATTGGATGTCCAATTATCCGTATGATTGTCAGTTTTCCGCTTGTGGTTCATCGTCAACCTCTTTAGTTTCATTTTTTCGACGTATATTTTCACCTCGCCTAGACAATGAAGGGCCTGTTCGAGATTTCCGTGGGCATCCTTGGCCAGCTGAATAAAGTTGTAAAGGCTAAACATAAATTTGAATGTATCCTTGGGAGTTTGAAGATTAAACGTGATC